GTATGGGAGGAAAATACTATATACATATTCATTATATTAATAAACTGTATATTTAATTTGATATTTTAATAGCAACTTAATACATTAAGCCATATTAAGTGTTTATGTTTTTCTGCAGGAGGAAAACGCTTAACGAGAGACTTTGCGCATGCGTTCATATTCTGTTCTGTAGCCACGGATTGCGGGTCTTGTCTTTTTCTTGCAGGACTATGTACGTTATTGTACTAAATTAGTTTTAATCATTAAATCACCATCACAGCTTCTTGTCTCCATTGGCAACACGCACGATTTGTGTCGATTGGGTCAGCTGGACAATCAGAGCAGACTGCGCTTGTCAAAGGAGGGGGCTTTGTTGAAAACGACGTGTTTGAGAGAGGTGGGGCATAGAGGACCTACAATAATGTACAGTATTTGAAAAATAATGTGTTTTTTGAACATTAAAGCATGTCAACATATTCTGTTACACCAAATACACAAAATAATGATCTTTAAAATAGCATCATATGACCCCTTTAAATAATTGTCTTTTGGGATTTTGCCAGAAGTTAATTCAGTAAAATTCTGATGGATTCAGCATGCAATTCTGTACACTGGCAACTTGTCTTTTGGATCGATTCATTAAAGTCATTCATTTGTAATTTAACATAAAATTCACAAACCAGCAGTGATGGAATTTAAGTTCACATTTCCAAGTTCATCTCTGATCGACAGCCAGCACCAGTGGGGATTCTGCATGGTTTTCTGAAGCCTCACCAGACTGCCAGCATAAAGTAATTAATCATAAAATAGCCAAGCAATTTAGTGACTTTATTTTTTCATAGACTTGCTCTACTGGTCAAACGTGTGGAATACTGTTTTTATCATTTAAAAAAAAAACTCTTATGCTCACCAAGGCCAAAATATTTCTGTAAAAAATATTTACTATTTTAATATATTATAAAATGTTATTGTTGTGATGGCAAAGCTGAATTTTCAGGAGTATTCCTACGGTGCTATTCTGATTTGGTGCTCAAATATTAATAATGGTTCTTAATATTTTCAATGTTGCAAACAGTTTTGCTGCTTAATATTTTTGTGGAAACAGTCATAAATTGAAAATATATAGGTGTGTATGAATAGAGAGTTCAAAAGAACAGAATTTATGTGAAA